CCTGCCGAAAAAGAAATCGATTTCTAAATTTTAGGGAAAAAACCTACGGTAGGAATCACTGCCGAAAAAAAAATCGATTTTTAAATTTTAGGAAAAAATTTAGATACGTCATGATGACACACTTGTGGAATGTCAAAATATTTATTGTTAATCTACCGCCTTTACCAAAAAGATTTCTTTTTATTGGAATATGTATTTGGAGTGGACCAAAAATCGGTTTTCTAAATACATAACTCCAAATTTTTATCAAAGAGGGCTGGCATTTTTTTTCCCGCACAAATTGTATTTATTGAAGTTAATTTTTTCGTGGTTAGGATTTTTTTTTCTCGTAGCGTGTTGTAGTGCGAACAGTGGATCCCAAAACACGTCATCTCGGATCCCCCGATCCACTAACGGTGCTTCTAGGTACCTCAAGCACCGGTCATCGTTCTCGTCGAACCCATCGCTTGCGACGAAGGGCTCGACAAGTAAATTAACCCTCAGACAGCCCACTGAGTTTCTCGCCGGATCTTCTCAGTGGGTCGCGTTTCCGATCCGGTGGTAGATTCTATGAAGCACGGCTCTTGATAGGGTTCGTGTTAGCAACGTCGTCAGGTTTGAGCCCCGTGAGCTCACCTACTAGTTAAGATTACGCTGAAATAGCATCTCAAGGCTATCAGATTAAGTATAAAAAAAATGTGTGTGTGTACAAAACAAATCACACACGGTAGAAGTGAAACTTCTAAAAAATAAAAATAATCGCAAGGGTCAACCCCTCCGCAGTGCAATGGAGCAGCCTCACCCTTCAGTTCACCCTGGGGACACCGCCTGCATGATCACGGTATCCAGGTAAGTATGATTTAGCAAGAGAAATACGAGAACGTCTATCAACTGTGTAACATCTCGCCACCGCGATTCAGGAATTGTTGAATTTACGTTGAACAAACTAAATAGAAACAAAAGTATCTCAGGGCGCTCCGAGAGCCACGACAGCGTGCACGGACGTCAAAAACACACTGAACTAGTCGGGGACGCGAGACCGTGTGGAGCGCTTCGTGATTTGTCGGCGCCGTTCGGCAAGCCAATCGCGGTACACTTATTTTTTCGTTTCGTTTCATTTCGTTTCATCGAGTTTGAAATCACGATTCTAAAGAAGTCTCACTTAAAAAAAAAAACTCGACATTCTACATACTAAAAACACACAACGAACCTTGAATACAATCCCTTGCGGCACACCATGACCAAGGTGTCCCTGGTTCTGGTACTGAAGTTGATGAGAGGGCGTACTGAATCGAGAACGGCCGCGCTCAGTCCGTAGTCGCCACCGGAGGGCTGACAGTTCTCTAATATCGTGCTCAGCTCCGAGCGACCCTCCACGGACGCCGGCGTTAGCTTGCACAGCACGTACAGACAATCTGTTCAACAAATAAACAGTTTAGTAACATTTATCTAGATAACCGTTAAAAGTGAGACATTAATTTTATTCTTAACACGTTAACTGCCATGTAGGTCACCGGTGCCCTACGGGGCGCATTGAAGTAATTATGTCGATTTCTCTCTTCGATATTCTTACTAAGACGCCGGAATATCTAGTACTCTGGGAAAGACGTATTCGAAGTTACTGAAAATGAATCTATTCCTAAGAGACATAAAAGACTAAAAACATACATTAAAAACAAAAATAAGCAAAGTTAGGCAATCCAGGCGCTTAGTAACAGAAATAATTAGTTCAGTGCGCCGGGTATGGCACCGGTGACCTACACGGCAGTCAAAGGCTTAATAGGAACGAGCAAACTCAACATACAAAGGGACTGTTGATATTAAATATTGTGAGCCCGCACAATTAACCACCGTACTACTTTTCTTCTTTTATTAACGCAATCCAATTGAGTTTCGACCTCACGTTTCAATGTGAGTAGCGGCATTCACGTTGTGATGTCTATAGGCTACGGTGACCACTCAGCACCAGGTTTTTTATTTATTTATTGCTTACATGGGTGGACGAGCTTACAGCCTACCTGGTGTTAAGTGGTTACTGGAGCCCATAGACATTTACAACGTAAATGCACCACCCACCTTGAAATATAAATTCTAAGGTCTCAAGTATAGTTACAATGGCTGCCCCACCCTTCAAACCGAAACGCATTACTGTTTTACGGCAGAAATAGACAGGGTGGTGGTACCTACCCCTGCAGACTCACAAGAGGACATACCACCAGTAAAGGTGAGCCGCCAGCTCCTTCACACATCCGTGCATTATAAAAACACTACTAGACTAACAATAAAACTCAAGACGTCTTGTTTCTGTGTTGTACTGTTCCCATCGTGTTCCATATCGATGGGTGTACGACTATTCGCTTACTACGCAACATTTATCTTTGCGATTAGAGGTACGTTTTATTTAGTATTAGTATCAACAATGCGACGTTTTTAATTGAACTTCAACTATGTTTACATACTCCATTCAAATATTTAGTTTTTTTATGATCTTTCCAAATTTTATTATACTTAAATTGCTCTCATGTAAAGTTGCAAAAGTGTCTCTTAAACCAAATATCCGTCACCCCTCGATATTTAAAAATGATGAATTGAAAAATTATAATACATAATGACTTAATCAACAAAAAAATACCTATCACAGTAAAGCATATTAACCACAAGACCTCAACACAAATGGCATTTTTTTATTGCCCTTGTAAGCAGACGAGCATACGGCCCACCTGATGGTGAGTCGTTACCGTCGCCCATGGACTTCAGCAATGCCAGGGGCAGAGCCAAGCCGCTGCCTACCCACCGCTAAAGTGAATGCCGGTTACCTGCATATTGTTTCTGAGCGTTATGTCCCGCCAGCCTGTCCCCCAAGTTGTTCAGTACATACGGGACCGTCTCCCTTTGCGCTTTGCACAGCCGCACCAATATAAGCTTCCCGTGTGACCAGCACGCGTGAGCTACCGGCTTTATAGGAGACACCGACAGAAGTGCAAACGCTAAGTTCATTAATCCGACCGACAACTGACTGGCACTGAAAATACAAAAAGCAGACATTGAGTACTTAGATAAACAATATAATTTATTAAAATAACGATCATTAGTGGTCGGTCGCCGGATCTTCTCAGTGGGTCGCGTTTCCGATCCGGTGGTAGATTCTGCGAAGCACTGTTCTTGCTAGGGTCAGTGCTAGCAACACTCCGGTTTGAGCCCCGTGAGCTCACCTACACACGTTAGGGTGGAGCTGAAATAGCCTCTCAAGGCTATCAGCACAGGTAGGGAAAAAAAAGTGGTCGTTACATTATTCAAAGTTCAAAAACATGATTTCGATACTAATGCTGTAGGTAAGTATCGCAAAAGCTAATACGATACTGCTAGCACTTGAGAAATACAATAATTTACAAGTACATAATATGTTAACTGATTAGCATTTCTGGCCTCATGAACACGTTAACAAATTTCGAAAAATCTGCGCGGCAAATAAATCAATATATCGCACATACGGTACTATAGTCACTTATGCAATTTTTGTCAACTCTGAACCTTCGTAGCTCTGAACCGAGTATGAGAAAATACATTTTTTAACAGATAGTAGTGAAACGAAAGAGATGTTTGCTTGTAATGATAAAGTTTAAAGTTGTAGTTTAAATATTATTTTATTTCTATAGTCTAGAAGAACTATATAAGAACTATATAATAAAATGTTAAATTTTCCGTTTCTCATGAAATATTACATAATTTGCATAAGTGACGTTATCGTTATTTATACAAAAATTGTTTTTTCCGCTGCGTGATAGATTAAATGACAGTAAAGGTATGGGCGGGCGTACAATTATTGGACGTTCCAAACAATGAGAAATTTTGAGACCTAAGTTTAGAAAAACCTGATTTTCTCTAAATCTAATTTAAAATTTGTATAATTCCAGTTAGATTTATCAAGGAAATATATTTCTTGAAGTACCTAATTTCTTACACTACACATTAAAGTTCTATTAAAAATAATAGGGATTACTCGAAGTTAACTTTTATTTTCCGATTAATAAAAACAAAACACTTGTTGGATGTATATATATTTTTATGTACCTATATTTTTTTATACAAAGTATTACATCATAAGATAAAAACCAAAATTAAATGGCACATGTCCCAATAACTTTTTTCAACACAACTTGTTTTAAAAAAAAAAGACCCTCTTCAAAATTAAATGTCACTTGAGTGGGTCTCAATTTCATTTATTTTTAATACGTTCTTGGCGTCAAGGACAGAGTGTTTTGTTTACAATAATTTAAACTTATCGCCAAGCTAGTTTAAACAAAGGTACATTGTTTTATTCTACAGATCTTGAGTATGAATATTTAAAAATAAGAGTCAAAATTGGCACAAAAACAATGTCTCATAAAACCTAAGATTTTGTAAATATAAGAAATGCTTACAAGTGGTATAATAATTAATTTTTCAAGATTTACATGCTAGGCATTCATACCAATGAAAAATGTCACATGTTTTGAAGAAAACTTTATATCAAAAGTTCAACATAGTCAAAAATTAACATGTGTGCTCCATGAAGGCTAAATAAAGTATGCATTATATTAAACGACTTATGCAAATAAAAATAATCAATATGATTTGTATTTTTTTCAAACTTATTTTTATTCAAATAAACAATTGTTTTAATGACTTCATAATAGAAGACACAACAACAAAAAATAGTTTTATAAAAAAAGTAGCAACAACTAGGTAACTTACAACTAATCATACAAAACATACAACAACACAGTTAAAAGATCGCACATAAACAACGAGATTAAGTACGTAATATATGTGCCATCTCAAATGATTGCGAGTTGCATTGGTGACACGACCCTGGTGACCATAACCCGCCATATAAGTGTACAACACATAATGCAGCATTTTTGTTTAGTACTCCAAAACAATATGGATGGTAATAACAATAACTCACCAACTTTATAAATTTTTTAGAAGTATCTTTAACACTAGTGCCCAAATACCCTGTCTGTCTGTCTGTCTGTGTGCGTGCGTGGCAATGATCGGTAAGTGTCAGTGTGAAGTGTGATATGTCTCGTAACATGTGTAAGTACACATTGCCACATTGCAAGCTTTACAGTACGAGACAGTCCGTTTCGGGCACACGGCGCATTGGCGCCTAAGGCGGTCTGACTTTCCGCGCTTGATCAAAGGGTACTGCGCCGGGTAATGTACTTGTGTTGCGATTGTTGCTGTGTTAGGTTTAGGTGTTCTGTGTGCTGTCAACAAATCAGTTACCAACGCATTCCGGAAATTCCGGTGTAGCAACGACTGATTCTGGAGTAAGATGTACGAGTTCAGGACACTAATGTTCAAGAGCCTTCTAAAAAATTTCTTGCTCCAAGCTTTAGTCCGTCTTTCTATGGGGAACGTTGCGAGCAGCCGGTCCCTGCGATCTAATCTGTCCATACAGAGACTATAGTCATGCACGACAGTCGGCTTCAGTTTTTCCCTGAACCTGGTAGATGCCAAGCCATGATATGTGGAAATAAACGCCGCCCGTTTTCTATCCCTCCAGACCATAAGATCCACATCTCCCGAGGTGCATCCCAATACTTGGCCGACTGTCATATCCTTTATTGTAAGACGCGTCAAATCGTATGGCACAAATTGACGGTTTGTTCGCAGCGTACCCACACAGTCAAATCCCCGGACCTTCAGTTCTCGTGCTAGTGCTGGAGAGTTGAAGAAACTGTCCATCCATATTGTATGCCCTTTGTGCTCAAGACCATCTAAAAGTCTGAGCACGAGAGCTGGTACTGTCCCAGAAATTGGATTATCTTGTGGTGTCGAGGTGTCAAGGCCTGCGTGTAATTCAAACCGCCACAAGTAACCACTTTGTGATTCACACAATTCATAAGCTTTGATCTCAGCTGTCGCTGCCTCATTAGGGAATGACTGGTTTATATCAAGCCAGCCCTTCCACGTTGTCAAGCTCTCATCAATAACCAGATTTTGAGATAAATTATATAGTTCTGAAAATTTATTATTAAGGTGGTCTATTAATGGTTTTATTTTTAAAAGTTTAATCTGGTGTTGTGTCAACAATGCAGGGTCACAATTATTATTACTATTAAAATGTAGGCATTTCGACAGAAGCAGGAAACGGTCATGTGTCATCTCCGTGGAGAAGCAGGGAGTACTAAATATGTCTTGAGAGGTGGACCAGTACTCCTCTAAGCGGTTTTTGACCACCTTACCCATAGCCAGAACAATGGCAAAATACGTGTAAAGTTCGTTTACATTCGTATCTTGCCAATGCGTAATCCGGCTATTAGGATAGATGGTCCCATTCTCCAACATGGCCATTGCAAGCTTCTGTGCGTAAATGTTGGTTTCCCTCACAATAACTTCCATAATTTCACGATCCCATATGGCAATAAATGCTTCATAGGGACTTGCAAAAGAAACCGTAGGGCCACTATTAATTTGCGAGAATGGTTCTCGCCTCAAATGAGGTTCAATTTGAGGCATTGAAACCGCTCTCCATACAAATTTAAATTTGTTACTAGGCTCCATGGGAGTTGGTGAAACAGGCGTCGGTGTAGGAAGCATCGGTGAGGCGGGCTTTGAGGTACAAATGGATGATTGAGGAGGCCACTCCAAAGAAACGTTGAGGCCATTTTCTTCATCTTCCTCATCTTCGTCCATCAACATCCTAACCACCCGGGGCACCACTAACGACTGACCAATCCCTACTTCCTCTTCGTCAGACTCTGTCTCGCTGCCTGAAAGGAAAAAAAGCTACAATTTCTGGTTTCGATTGTAATATGTATTTTACTTCCGCGATTGTTGATAAAAAGGTTGATATCATAATGTACTTACCATAATTAATTAGTGAGGCGTTGATTTCGTCATCAGGAACGGGGCTGTTACTGGACGAAGGCATTCTACAAGATAGAAAGGATATTTTAATCAATGCTAGTAACTACTCGCTGACGTCAACATTTGTAATAAAACAAGGCGCCGATAGCGCCATCATCAGTCGCTGACGTCATCAGCAATGCCGACGTCATCACTTTATGAAACCAGCCTCTCCGTCATACAAAATAGGTCATTTTATTTAATAAAATAGTTACAGGGTAGGCGATGGCACGATGCCGCCGACCTCCATTCTTTCTGCTTCGCGGGAGGACAACCGGGTAATTTCCGGTGATGAGCATGTTTCTGATCTGAAAACAAAGCTAGGTATAAATATTTGTTTTTCTGTTGTAAATATAAGTATTTAAAACAATCAGAATACTCACCTTGAGTTTTTAGTCACCGCGACAGGAGGGTGTACCCTTACCCTTTTAGGATGTACTGGCCTATCCAAGGGTTGGTCGTGTGACAAGTCCTCAATTGGTTTAGATTCAAAAACTCTGAAATACCTATTGGCATTAAAAGAAATATACCTATCAATAAATAAAAAATTGTAGAAAAACAATATTAAATAAGGTTAAATAAGTTTAAATAAATAAAAATGTATCTTATTTTAGGTTTTAGTTTTAAGAGGTTATTACGGTTTAGAGGTACTGGCTGGCAGACAAATATCACCACGCGACCACACCCGTCTAACGCCACCACGACCACCTCTAGAACGGCCACGGGCTCCAGCATGTTGACTGGTAACAAAATGTATAAATTAGTTCAACATAGAAGTAAGCTTAAGCAAAGAATCCAATCACTGGTGTAAAATATAGAAAAATCAAGTAACTAAAGCAACAAAAAAGAAATATTTTTTTTTTTTTTATATGAAATTAAAGCTTTTTCTAATAGTAGTTCAACAGCAGCCATTTTACTACGACAAAGCGGATTCGTTGCGAATCTAATAATCTTTTGGTTGTGTTCATATCTTTGAGGTCGAAATTTTCACATTTGTGACTACAATACACGTCTTTTGTAATAATTAGATTAAATTTCACTATAATAGTGATCCAATTACAAATATTCGTTTAGATTTTAATAAATTTTCTATCAAATACGACAAAACAAAATCCACCTATAAATCCGTAGAACGGCCGTTGCTTCAAAGATGTCTTAAAATCTAAATATATATAAATCCATTTTAGTAAACAAAATGAAATAATACTTACGATTCCATGATTTATAGACGAAATGCAAAAAAATTAACAATTGTGCACAAAAACAGAGCTAACGCGGAGCAACCTCGAGCTTGACTCGTAAACTGAACAATTCAGTCGCCGCCGTATTTTTTTCTGATAAATTACGTGTGAAAGAGAGAAAGAACCCGTTCATTTTAGAGTTTTAAATGTGTTAGAAAGAGTAAAGTATATATTACTCGTTAAAAGTGAGTCATAAGCGTCCAAATATTGGAAGCCTTCACAGTCGAAAGCGCCCCTAGTGGCAACCGCCCCTATTAAAATTGGCAAACGTAGGCAAACGTTCCAACTCCATACAACTTTGGAGTTATCTTTTACGCTATCGAGAACGTTAAAAAATTCGTACTAAGCACACTGGGATAAAGACAGAGTATCCTCTCTATGCTGTTCAGAATACTTCAAATAGTATCTACATATACATATCGACGCTTGAAAGGAAAACGTAACTAAGTGACAATGCGTGAACTTTACAGTAGACTAATTTAAAGTTGAAATACCTGAAAAAAATTCTATTATAACGAATCTAGCTGTAGGATTGAAATGATTTTAATAGACCTAGAAATATATTTTTTTTGCGCATCGAATATGGTTATTGCCTATCATTTATGTACAAATCAGTTATTATCGCTTAGTCACGTTTGCCTTTCAAGCGTCGATATATATCTGTACATATCGTGTTTGTTAGCCGTTTCGCACCTGTCCGCAGTGAGTACTTTGAGCAGGCTGGCGACGTCCACATCAGGCGGCATTACCGACCGCTCCCAAGCTGATTTCTTGCGCATTATATCGTCCATTACACGTTGTTCTATCGCCGACTTTATCACCTGTTATGTTTTTTACTTTGTTAGCCTAGTAAAGAACCCAATGTGTCTGGATTTATTTTTGTTTGTTAATATTCTTAATATAGAAGATTTACAAAAGGTGAAATGTATTTTTTTTAAACAATTACAAAATCATTTTTCTTTTTATTTGTTCAATTTACTTGTATCCCCTTTTTACCGAAATCATTTAAAACAGAATATGGTTCTCAAACCTAAGTATTTTTTTCCTTCCTTCATGTTTCAATTTTCATTCAATCATATATGAAATAAACATTTTTAGTTACATAATATTATGATGTCATTATATTAATTACTAGTGGTCTCTCAGTGGTCGAAATTCGAACATAATTAATTGAAATTATAAGTTTTATTATTATGGTTCTATTGTCTAATATAATAGTAATCTTCTGTTTATACTTCTTCAGTTATCGCCAAGACTACTCTATAGACAAATAATAATAAAGAAAAACAATAATAATCTATTATTCTGGACTTTTTAGCGGGAACGCGAGGAGCCAAGTTGTGTGAAATGTATAATTTTGTCTATTTAATGTTTCTTGAGGTTTAAATGTGTCATAGCGGTGGTTTATTAACGGTTTAGTAGCTGTGAAAGTGTACAAATGTGGGAAAATGAAGCAACTAACAAACAAAGCCGCTGGATGTAACTTCTCGAGATCCTCCAAAAAGTTACTCCATAAAGTTACCAAAAGTTTTTTACCGGTGGTAGGACCTCTTGTGAGTCCGCACGGGTAGGTACCACCACTCTGTGTTGCGGTTTGAAGGGTAGGACAGTCGTTGTAACCATACTTGAGACCTTAGAACTTATATTTCGAGGTGGGTGGCGCATTTACGTTGTAGACATCTATGGGCTCCAGTAACAACTTAACACCAGGCTGTGAGCTTGTCCACCCATCGAATCAATAAAAAAATAAAAAAGTCCACTGAACAAGTCTCAGTAAATAGCCACCATTTTACTGAGATTATATTTTATCCCATAGTATCTCATCTCATTTCATTTAATTTTATGCCAATTGATTATGTTTCAAATTAATCAACTGCACCCGTTAATCATTTCACTTCATTTTATTATTTTTCATTAAAAAAAAAGAATAGATTAGGCTGTATGGTACGATACCTCTGCCTTTCCAGTTGGAAAAATAGAACTACTAGGTACCTACATAATTTATTCTTAATTTGACCAGACTTTAAACAATAACAAAAATTTGACATTAAACAAAAAGTTTATCTATCATGTTTGTGTCAAAAACATGGTAGGCAGCTGTGTAAATTTTATTAATGTTGTAATATATTTTTATGCATAGGTAATAAAAAAATTTATTAACATTCCCACTTCTTCTCTATAATAATATTCTCTACAAGTGTCAGAAATTTCACACTTCTCCGTCTGCGCAATTTTCGTGAAAAGGGATACAAAGCTTTTGCTTCACGTATTAAAAAGATTCACTGTCAAAGCTTCAAAAATTAAGATTTTAGTGCATTTCAGAGTAGTTAAAATAGTAAGATGCAGAGCTAGTAAATAATATTTATTACACTTACATTCAAACAAACAGTTCTATAATCGGATCCCTTGTCTGACATAACCAAAGCTAAATTCACCATGAAAGGGGACCTCAACAGCTGAGTTTTGGGCCACATTTTTAGATGTTTTCGCACAAGTTCCGGGTCTACAGGCCCTTGCGATATATGAAATATACAATTTGACAGACATTGACTGAATTCTGCTATGGTGTAAGAAACTGGAATTAAAAAAGAAATTAAGTGAAGTCAGGTTTTTATTTATTTAAAATGTACATTATTTTTATTCTAAGCCATTCCATAATACATTATTGTTATTATATGATTATTGTTATTTTACATTTATTTCATTAAAGGGGTGAATGTGTGCCATAAGAGCTTATACAAATCGCAACAGAAATGCCGCTACTGACTTTGAGACAGTCGTAGTTTCATTCATATAGTTAAACCAGTGTTAAAGTAAAGGGTGCACTAAAAGCCAGAGTACATGCTTGTGGCAGAAATAGGCAGCGCTGGTTTAATACATCTACTCGCACAGACTTTTTGTTTCTCAGTAAATGACTTAAGTTAATCGATAATTAAAAAAGTCCAATGTGACCATAATATTATATCAAGACATAACTAAAGCTCACCAATATCGTCAACATCCATAGTCGTTGACTCTGAATCTTGTGGAGGGGGTTCCAATTTGCCAAATAGACTTGCATTAAAGTAATGACTCAAATGTGATAATACTATATCTAAATTATATAACTTGCACAACCTGTAGAGATAAACTCGCATGGGCTTAAAATTTTACCTAACTATGGCGTTGGCAAAAGAAGAGTTATCATTTTATCAGGTTTCTTTCATTTCAATCGATATCACAAATCAAACTTCACTTTCGCAGTAATCCGCTAATTACAGAGAATGCAGGGTCAGTTGTTGAAGGAAACCTTGGGGGAGGCATGTCTGGCAGTGAACGAAGTGAGAACATTGAATCAAAATTAAAATACGTGGATTACACACATAGCTGTAGACCTGGAATAGCTCCATCCAATATATTACCATGAGTGTCGTCTTCTACCATTCTGCTTATTTCTACTGCAAAGCAATCATGCATTTGGGCTTGGAGGGTGAACAGTCCTGAATTTAATTGAAAATTCCACCTGATATCACAAGGTGTTAGACATTCATGCCTATGGACATTGGTACCCACTTAATACAATATTGTCTGTGAACTCATAAAAAGCCTAGTGAAAACCATGAAAGCCTAGTGGCTTATATGGTTGGAATACTAATATTTGTAGATAGACAAGCATTAAGAATAATAAGTACTGATTAATTGTAGCATTGAAAACACTTACCGCATAAGTTGCAAAGTAAGAGGAGGCAAGTTTTCTGGTGCAATTTTGATTATTAACGAACACATTTTGTTCACTACTTGTGTGTGATCAACTCGTGACAACTGCATGTCTCTGAAAAAACTTTTAGTTTTACAAATGAAATCCTACTCTGTGTGTGGTCACAGCTGAATATATGAAATACACACATTTCGTTTAATTATTCAGGTAGCAACTGTTGTTGTATTGTATTGTATTGTTTGCTATTGTATTGTTATTGTATTTGTGTTGATGGTACCATAAACACGTAATTTTAATACACGTAATCGTATTTTTTAAAATTGAAGTTTCTATTTTGTATTATTAAATTAATTAACATTTTGTTTACGAGCAGTGGCAAGGTTTATTTCTATTTCATATTTTTATCAAAACTGATTAAGCATCGACTAAATAATTAACCAACAAGACATAAATTTTAAATTTTATATTATAACTGTTCTGAAAATATGATACATTTTTCATTCTTTTACAATTATGAAATATAACATAACTTGGATGGAGGGCATAGCAAGTGAAACCTAAAATTATATTAGAATTTAATGTGTTAGTTCTAATTCCAGCATATAATGAAAAAACTTTCTGGTTTTAGCTAAAAACTAATATAAGCGAGAAGCCATTTCTGGATGTCAATATTATTAAAACTCAATGATAAATTTTATTAAATTAAATAACTAATTTTAATACCTACGTAAACATTGCAGCAAGTTGAACCAAATGCTCTTCCTTCCACTGAAACTGACATAAGGTGTGTACACACTGAGTTATGTAGTCATCACTGCTCATATCTGTATCATAATGTTGTATGCTATCATAGTTTTGTAGAGAGCTAATGCACTCCGGTACAATGTCACGCCAACTAAAATCAGTATCAATATTTTTTACATTTTAACTTGTGTTTTGGCAATCCCTTATGTAGTATGTACATATATACAATTAAAAAAGACATTAATAGATCTTTCATTAGGCAAAACGGACAATTTTAACCTGCTACTCTTTATATAAACAAAAATGAATATTTATTTGTGAAGATTAAAGTAAATATATACTTGATTTAGTAGATGAAATTTTCATGAAATCTTAAAATAAGGTATCTTGCAGATAATAAATACACCATTTTTGTTACTAATTCAATTATTATATATATTAATGTGAAAGAAAATTAAATGCAAAAAGACCGACAGAAATATACATTTTCGATTCTCATTATCATTTGATGGTTTGTAATGGTTTTGATGCACCCTGTTTAATTTAACATATTATGAAGATTTGATTTGATGATTGATTTAACATTGTTCAATCACCTTTAGTTTTGCCATATGGCAATCTATTTTAAACAGCAGATTAACTTACATCATGTTAACATCAGTATCTTCAACAACAGACTGTATGCTATCATTGCACCACCTAACTAAATCATTGGCAGGTAACTGTGGAAGTTCCAAGCAAAGTCTACTGATGATATCTGCACAATGAGTCAATGATGAGGGCTCCTTTGTCATTGTTTGTAGTATAACATCTACGATCTGAAAAATAACATTTTAGGACTAAAAAAAAATGTTCAATTTTCATCTAAGAAATTGTGTTATTTAAGTGAACAGATATATCATTATTTTGATCAGCACTATATTTAAATTATATTGTATTATATATATTGTGTTCGGTTTTTGCGACTCGTACACATAATAGAAACTATCTACATACTTTTTCAGTTAAGCCTTGTATTTTTTACCATCATTATATTATTTCCAATGTGTTGAATACTTTATAGTTTTCATAGTTATGAATGAATCAAACATACAGACATAAAAATATTTTAAATATATAACCATTATTTTAAAAAGGTTATACGGTTGTTTATGGTAGGCAGCGGCTTGGCTCTGCCCCTGGCATTGCTGAAGTTGTAACCGTATGCTTGTCGGCCTAGAAAAGCACAAAAAAAAACTTGCTTTTTTTTAATGTCATTATATTATTATTTTTGACATTTCAAATATGCCAATTTTAGCAGTGCAATAGTTGTGCGGTTATACTTTATTGTCCCAATTTAGCCATTATGCTTGGTTCAGCCTGCATTACATTTCGAGTGAAGAGGATGAATGTTTATTATACACATAAAAATTCATATTATTTATACTCGACTGTCAAATGTTCAACAAACTAATACTACATATCTATATTGTCATAACTTTCTTAATCACAAATAAATAGAAAAGTTTACTTTATTGTTTGCTAGGAGTTTTATACCCCTAGTACCCCTATTTATGTCTCAACGGCACTGGCACAGTAGCCATCTTCAGCAATAAATTAAAATCATTTTTTCTCTCATAGAAAATCAATGGATGGTAATTATATGAACTTGCAACATGCTTCAGTATTTAAGATATGAGCTGGGGATTAGAAATCAGATAAGTATAGGAAGATACTTTTTTTTTCAGGCCAAAGTCCGAACCTCCCACGAGGTCCTTGCACCTATGGGGCGCACGGGGTATGTGGAACTTGACGATCTGCAGATGTTATAGGAAGATACTTGCACTATGTATATATCGTTTAATTTGATAACTGCAGTGATATACTATAATATAGTGGCATTTCTAGAGTCCACAAGCAACAGTATACTATTGACTACTGGTGCACTGTAAAATCAGCTGTATCTTTTGAATAATGACTGTGACGTCTGTAAAATTGGTATATATTTCTGCAATCTGATACTTATAATCCAGAAATATCCTTTTAATTACTAAAAATTCTACAACAATAGAATGATAGCATCTCTCACCTTTATTTTGTGTATCTTTAAACTTTCTGTAAGACCATTAAAAAGGTAATCCAGAATTTGACCTCCGTCAGAAGCTAATAGACGTCTCGACAAAAACTTGATTATCTGAAATTAAAATATGTCTACTTGCCTTCATTTTTTTTTAATTAAATTGCGTTTTTGTTTTTGTACTAATATAAGTTAGATGTCTCTTTTTGGAGCTAATACATTTTTTGTCCTTTTTTTTGAACTTAAGCAACTTGTGTAAAAAAATATCCAGAGACTCGATATTTTTTACATTATTTAGATTCAATATTATGCCTTTTTATGGGTATTTAAGAACATAAACTCTATTGAAATTTAATAAATCCCGGTTTATAATACATTTTGGTTTCCATTAAAAAGCTTGTAATACCTAATTCAAAACCATGAGCTTGGAAAATAAATTAAGTAAAGCCTGTTGTACCTGTTGTATGTTTTGTGTACAATGCTCTATTAAGTTATCCTTTTCACTATTAACTGGGCCTAATTCTTTTAATTTTGCAAATAGAAAACTTGAATCCATTTTCCCGGTAGGTAGCGTATGTACTTTTGATGCAAATAAGTTTTAATAAACCTATATTTGATGCGTTTCAAACAATGAAGTAGGAAACCTAGGTCTATGGTTTCAAATAAGAATGTGCGCGTCAATGCCGTCAATGACCTCGATCTGTCAAACAAAACTCGATAAAAAAGTATGGACAGCAATGAAGTAGGAAAACTATGGAAATGAAACGTCAACCAAAATTTCGTGCCAGTGTGACGTCATCTGGCCACAAAACATGGCGGCTTTAGTGCTGTACAAAAGATTTCAATGTTATCAGGTTTTATCGATAAACGTTCTTGGCTCATTTTATTTTAAATATTGTTGAGTATTATTTATTTGTAGAATTTATACTTTAATGGGAAGTAAGTAGTTATATTGTTATGTGCAAATATGATATGATTTAGATGGGTGAAATCTAAGACAAGTTCGTCCTCCGAATTTGCCAAGTAAACGATATGATGATTTTTAAAAGTTGCTACACTGATTTTATAAAGTTGTCGTTTGTCGCAAAACATAAAGATATGGCGTAGTTCAAAGCCATCAGCCCATTTCTAGCATGCTAAATGTTATCGTATTTTGAGTACGTGTTTTTCTTAGACTATTACAATCTATTTTAATTGTTTTGCTGACTCTNGTAAATTATCCAATTTTTGTTTTTATAGTGCTATATTAGATGGTTATTTATATTTCATGCTATTTCGATCGAGTAATAACAGGAAGGAACTGCGCTATTAGGTCCCCTTCGGACACGCTTGTGCTCTTAACAAATCCCATCCCGTTGCCTGTTTTCTCTCACCAGTCCTAGCTAAGCCAGAAGCTGAAAAGACCTCCACGTTACCAACTACCCTACATAACTTATCTAGTTATCTACTTATTTCTGCCTCATAGGATTTACCGATTTTTTTTACATTTAAGTCTTATTCTTCTTCTAAAGTATTAAAAGTAATTGTTTTTTCTTCAATTGCAAAAGTTATCGCTTTGGTTAAAAAATAGTTTTTTCTTCCCTGTCCTGGTGAAACAAGAAAGGCCTCCGGGCCACCAGTAATCCTTCAATCCAAAAAAAACGTTTGCTCTAGGCAGACGAGCTATCAGTTCACCAATAGTGATGGTATCTACTCATTAACTACGACCAGTTAATGCAGAGCGCTACTGTCCGCTCTTAAACTAGTTTTATCTAAATGTGATGAAAATAAGATTAACGATTATAAGATGCTCGTGCTAGCGAGTTGAAATCACATCATTTCACTACAACGTTACGTAAACATTAAACATTTAGCTGCTTTTTAATAAACACTTGCTTCGCCGCGTCCACATTCTTGTCTTGTTCTGTATATTAATATTACAAGCGAGCGAAAGCTCTGTGTAAGCTGATGTGAACAATTTTTTAATTAATTTAGTGTTTCTTCATGCTTAGATGTGTGATTATTATTATCTATTTCATATGTGTTTATAAATAAAATAATAGATAAAAAATTAAACAAAATTTTATTGTTATATTAAAATGTTAATTGTCACTCTACATTAAACTGTCAATGTCGTTTTTTCTCGTTTCTTCCAATCCTTGCAATTTAGGTGACGTCATCAGTTTATGTTTCTGTAGCGAGTGTTGATTTAATAAAATTACGAAACGACACATTGATACACTGTAGACTTATTATTCTACAGTTGAAAATTATAGACATTTTTATTTATTTACCGGATTTAATTGTGTACATTTGTACCTTTGATTGATCACATAACTCATAACCTTTTTACATGGACTGGTACGTGTGCAAGACGTTACGTATTTTGGCGGCATCTTAGTCACATAAATAGATTTCCTTGTGCAATAAAAAAATCTGGTGAACTCATTTTTATTCGCGCAATTATTACTTATACTTATTTAAATAAGAACAAAAAGACTGGTATAGTGACAAAGTTATTTAAAATGTTTAAACGGTGATAAGTGATAACGGACATTTCAATTGCCGAAATAATGGAGAATCTGGCCGTTAACGAATTACGGTCAAGGTCTCGTTCGAAGACACCCTTCTTGCGTTCAACATGTGATGGAGAGAACTGCACAGAAGGTGATGACCACACTCATCACAAGGCAGGCAGAAAAACACCGGTGAAGAGTAGACACACCCCTGTGAAGTAAGTGTACAAATTTAATCAGTTGCAACAGCTCTGATGATGTGAGTCAAGGCAGAAATAATAGGAAAAAAATACTAGTATAAATCAAAAAGTATGTATATAATCACAATATAATAAAAAAATGTACTCAAAGTCACAGTCTGTAAAACTACTGAATACTACTTTTATAATATAAAAAAATGCTTCTATCAATTTACCAATGACAAACAGGACAATTTGTTTTATAATATTAAAAAAAAATTTCAACTTGTTTTGCAAAGGTGGATGGACGAGCTCACGGCCCATCTGATGTTAAGTAGTTACCGGAGCTGTTACTGTTTCTTGTATAAATTGTAAATAATTTACAGCCTTATCAGATAATATACTGAACTACTCAAATTTTTATGGAAGCTATATGCTTCACGAATTCATCACTTTGCACTCAAAAATAAATTCTCACGTGCTGTACCAAATTTTAATTACTTTATATTCAAAACCTTATCTGTGAAAATGTAAAGTGGAAAATAAGTGCTCAAAAGTAAATGTCAATGAAACAAACATTTAACAGTGAACATTAAACAGTTAATTTGATTTAGCTAACTATTTCAAAACAAATTCAGCTAATTATTTAGGTCAGAGTTCTTTACATGGAAGGCTCTCTCTAATTATTAACTGGCAATTAAATGCATGTTACCCTCGTAACATGCTCGTAAGAAGCCCTGACCTGGAGTTACTTGACTGATCTCTAATGACATTTCTGAACTCCTAAATTTGTAGTGCAATCTGAACCTTGCATTCTAAGTTAATTCTTTCTAACTCTCAATATTTTGGTAAGGTGAGCATACAAGGTTTGGTCTGAGATGTCTGTTTTATTTCTATGCAATTAAGACTTGATTCCATATCTCATACAGTTCAGTACACACTGAACAACAGGTAACTGAATAATAAATCATCTGCTTAACTGAAAGTATAACTAATCTAAATTTTCACACATTATAAATAAAGATCTGCAGTATTATTCTACAAATATATCAGAATCTTAGTACTTTAGAAGGACACATGATCTCATAGTTGAGTTTTGTAATAATAAGGTCACAGCCATAATGCCATGGTGGCCTTAGATTAAACAGAGATAAACCATTTTTACACATTTACATTGTTATGGTAATTTTAAAGTAAACATGTGGTGTTTGACTTCACACACTAAGAAATACCATATTAAGGTTTTTGTGCTTTTTAACAGTAGCTGAAAACATTATGTATTACTTTCCTTCTTTGCTCAATAAACAAAAATAAAACACTAACCTTGTTTATATGAAATATTTTAATACATATTAAAAAGAAAAGTTTATAAATTTAAATTAAGTTTTCTTTATAATTTGCAGACAACTTGGCCCACCAACAGTTACAGAAACAGTTGAGACTATTAGGGAAGTGACTGAGGAATACAGTTCACCTCCAGCACACCGCACTAGGCAATCAACTAAGAATACAACAGACCGTCTGGTAAAAACCTCAGATTATTCTTCCGAAGAAAGCTTGGACCGACTTAAGGGTCACAGGAAGGAAATATTTCAGGTAACAAAATTTTGAATAATGACTACTTTTGTATTATAGAATTAGAATATAAGTTGATAATTCGACGCTTGAAAGGCAAAAGTGACTAAGCGACAATAACTGCTTTGTATATAAATGATAGGCAATAACCATATTCGATGCGCAAAAAAAATATATTTCTAGGTCTATTAAAATCATTTCAATCCTACAGCTACTAGCTAGATTCTACAACAGCTGGATTCGTTAAAATAAATTTTGTTTTCAGGTATTTCAACTTTAAATTAGTCTACTATATTTAGTATTTTATAATTATATTATTAAGTTCACGCATTGGCGCTTAGTCACGTTTGCCTTTCAAGCGTCGAATTATGTTTTGTTCAAATTTCCGGATTTAGAAACATGTAAGGTTGTCTTTTCATGAAATTATACTTAAGTTCCAAAATATTATTGATAAGCTTTAAGCATGATGATAGATTTATTTTTCATCAAAGTAAAAAGTAAAAAAATCTGGGTACTTAGTGCGAGTGTTTTAGCGTTCTCTTTTTAGCGTTTAGCTTAAAAGTTAACTCAAATTTGTATGCAGTTGGAACATTTGCCTACGTTTGCCGCTAGGGGCGCTGTTCCAACTGCATACAAATTTGAGTTAACTTTTACGCTATCGAGAACGTTAAAAAACTCGCACTTAACACACTAGTCTAAAAATTACATGCCTGTTCGACCCTCCTGGCTCCATAACGGCCTAATCGTTCCATTTTTAAAACGTATTTAGAACGTGATTCATAAAAAGCGTTAAATTCAAAACGAAAACGTTAATAATATCAAAGCCAGTTTGTATACGCGATTCCGTCAATAGCCGTACCCGTTGTTTACACATGTGAGCACACACGGGGCCGCTACGAAAACACGCATGCCCCGTAAACACGTAGGCATGCGAAATTTTTGTTTTACAGTCTATTCTATCGTATCGCATGACCTTTCGACGAGACTTTCACTGGTGGTAGGACCTCTTGTGAGTCCGCACGGGTAGATACCACTGCCCTGCCTATTTCGGCCGTGAAGCAGTAATGCGTTTCGGTTTGAAGGGTGGGGTAGCCGTTGTAACTATACTGAGACCTTAGAACTTATATCTCAAGGTGGGTGGCGCATTTACGTTGTAGATGTCTATGGGCTCCAGTAACCACTTAACACCAGGTGGGCTGTGAGCTCGTCCACCCATCTAAGCAATAAAAAAAAAAAANACCACTGCCCTGCCTATTTCGGCCGTGAAGCAGTAATGCGTTTCGGTTTGAAGGGTGGGGTAGCCGTTGTAACTATACTGAGACCTTAGAACTTATATCTCAAGGTGGGTGGCGCATTTACGTTGTAGATGTCTATGGGCTCCAGTAACCACTTAACACCAGGTGGGCTGTGAGCTCGTCCACCCATCTAAGCAATAAAAAAAAAAAACTGTTTTTTACAATACAATTTTATTGTCAAACCTGATTTACCATTAATTGTACAATAAAAAAATTTGCTGCTACAAATTATTTCTGTCATAGTCAAGTATTTATTATATAGTCTCAAGTTACTGGTGGTAGGAGGTCTTGTGAGTCCGTACGGGTAGTTACCACCACCCTGCCTATTTCTGTCGTGAAGCAGTAATGCATTTCGGTTTGAAAGTTGGAGCAGCCACTCTACTGTTAAAAGTGACTCAGAACTCATGTTTCGAGGTAGGTGTCGGCATTTACGTTGTAGATGTCTATGGGCTCCGGTAACCACTTAACAGCAGGTGGGCCGTGAACTTGTCCATCCATTTAAGCAATAAAAGTTAAAAAAAGGTTTTTATTCTGCTTTGTGTTAAGTAAACCGACCAGGTGTTAAGTGTTCATCGGAATCCAGGTAAATCAAAAATGTTAATAACGTTACGCTCTCTAAAATATAAGATCGAAGTGTCAATTGTTTTGTACAAAGACTAAATCAACCTTAGATCCGGAAATACGGTATCGTATTCTACGTTTAAATTACCTCAATAAATCGAATAGAGCTGAACTTCCATTAGTTGATTAGTCTACCGAAAAATCTTGATTGTTATACCATAATGCAAATGCATAGTCTGATAGGATGCTATAACAGCAGAGCCTCATTTGTGCCACAAGTCAATAACGAGGTTCATCTTGAGATAGAGTATCGATATGATGATACTAATATCGATGTTTTCTATGTACCTACATTGAAACAGCGATTCAACCATTACGATTGCGTAATTGTGTAAAATTAAAGATATACATAGGACGTTAACTGGTCTCCCTCCAAAAGTAATAAAATAGAAGTATTCTTTTTTTTTTATTGCCGTAGAGGCAAACGTAACTATACTTGGTGTAACTATACTTGTAACTATACTCAGGTGTAACTATACTTGAGACCTTAGAACTTGTATCTTAAGGTGGGTGGCGCATTTACGTTGTGGATGTCTATGGGCTCTAGTAACCACTTAACACCAGGTGGGCTGTGAGCTCGTCCACCCATCTAAGCAATAAAAAATTAAAAAAAAGACGAGCATACGGCCCACCTGATGGTGAGTGGTTACCGTCGCTCATGAACGTCAGCAATGGCAGAGGCAGAGCCAAGCCGCTGCCTACCGTTTAATACTCTCCACAAGCCTCGTTTGAAGAAGGACATGTCATAGCGCTCGGGAAACACCGTGGAGGGGAGCTCATTCCATAGCCGGATGGTACGTGGCAAAAAAGATCTCTGGAAACGCACTGAGGATGAACGTAGTGGCTCCAGGTAGTCTGGATGAACTCTACTCCGGTGGCGGGCGGTGCGATGGTATAAACGAGATGTCGGTATCATCTCGAACAATTCCTCCAAATTTCAATAGTATAATGACAATTCCGCTAACACCACAGTATGAATATGCAAAGGGTTCTTTCGAGTACCGAACCATAAAGCATGGTCATTCAATCGACGAATAATACATTCCATTGTGTTGTAAAATTTTATGACAGCAATGGCGGATCCAGGGGGGGGGGGTCATGGGAGTCATGAGCACCCCCTGAGCTGGTTCCAGGACTTAGGTGGACCACTAATTGAATATAATGATTTTATTTATATATCTTGTCACCATACAGATTTTATGTAACTACATACCTTCAATATTTAATTCATTTAATATAATATAATAACTTTGTATAATGGCAAACGTTTGGGAACGAACGCATTTAAATTTGACTATGTGACCCCCTCCTGGTGCCAAAGCTGGATCCGCCCTTGTTAATGACAGCTTAACCAGTACTAAGTAATACGATTCAATTCCAAAGAATTCCAAAACGAAATATTGTATTCAAATATTTTAAAGAAACGCGTCACCATCCGAAATAGCATACTCTGAATTTGTTATAAATCATGTTTAAAATCTTATCTGCGTAATATTCACGCGCTTATCAAAAATGATACGTTTAATTCTTAATATATGTAAATATAGATTGATAGGTAGGATTTCGTTATAGAAAGACATTTCTCACGGCAGAAAATATCATGTATTACGATTGAATTATATACATAATATATACTAGAGGTCCCGCACTAGTCGAAATTCGACTATAATTAATTGGAATTGTAAGCTTGTACACTATAAAAAACATATTAATAAAGACAAACAATATTTAATCTGTTCTCAATTTGACCACAGACGTCAAGAACAAAAGTTTGACAATAAATAGTATGCATGCGTGTGTGCGTCAAATACATGGTATGTAGTGTGTGTAATGTTTTCTTTATTGATTTAATGTATGTTTTACGCATTATTTAAAAAAATATTAGCATTGTGCACTTCTTCTCTATATTCGCTATAAGTGTGGAAAATTTCATACTCCTCCGTCCGCAATTTTCGTAAAAAGGGATACAAAGTTTTTGCTCCACATATTAATATATAGATAATTTATTAGTTTAATATTGGAAAGTGTTATTTTCGTAATCAATAATGTGCTTGAAATTTCGACGTCATAGTGGGTCACGCGTGTGGCCGGCCATACGAATGAGCCATGGGTAATACGAATTCTCTTTGCGGTATTATAATATCGAGAGGTGATAGGGTATTTGGTTTAAGCGACATTTTTGCAACTTAATGGAGAGCCATTTAATGTTTAAAATTTGGAAAAAATGTCATAACATAAAAACTTCTTCAGCTATTTGAATCGAGTAAACTTAATTTAAGTTTAATTAAGTATAATCGGTGTGTTGATGCTAATACCAAATAAAATACACCTTTAATAAAATTACAAAGATAAATGTCGCGTATTTAGCGAAATGACGCCTAAACCACCCTTTCATCCCTCGATGTGGTTATCGTTTAGTTGAACAAAAATGAAAAGTATTTTTCCATCTTACAGCAAAAAAGTTATCAACCACCTTCCTTTTAACTTATAATTGACCTTGAAACAGACGTGGTAAGTAGCAGTTTTCATTAAATTATTTATAACAAATTTACAATTTTGTAACAATGCCCCGAAACAGAGCATTGTTTTTTTTTCCTACCTATGCTAATAGCCTTGAGAGGCTATTTCAGCTTCACCCTAACATGTAGGTGAGCTCACGGGACTCAAACCGGAAGTGTTGCTAACACTGGCCCTAGCAAAAGCAGTGCTTCGCAGAACCTGCCACGGGATCGGAAACGCGACCCACTGAGAAGATCCGGCGAGAAACTCAGTGGGCAGAGCATTGTTATGTGACCACTTTTGTACGAAGCGCGTTTTTCATTGCGTAAAAATTTAACGGTCGAAAATGTATTTGGCGAGATAATTAAATCATCTTTCGACTGACCCATCTGTTTGAACTACAGAAACTGTTGGAATACAGACATAATATGTAAATACGTCAGTGTATGTTAAGCTAAAATAAATAATGTCAGAAGAGCCTTGTAACATTTAATTGAGCCGGTGACGCAGAAAGCACTCGCATTCAGAATAATTTTCTAGGATTTTGAGTCATCAATTACGACCGCCGATCATTATTTTTATTTTTCAAATGTAATTCGCCATAAT